AAAAAAAAAAAGCTGAACGCAACAACAACGATACAAAGAAAAAGAAGAAAAGAAGAAGAAGAAAAGAAAAAGGAACTTTTTTTTTTTTTTTCAGACTGTTTTCTACATAATCAACAAACTTTCTTCTTCTGCAGGCATAAAAAAAAAATTTTTTTTTGTTTGTTATTTCGCAAATTTTTTTCTTTTGTTTTGAAAAGTTTACAGAAAAAAAATGAAAGAATAACGGAGGGGAAAAAAAGTATTATCTGTTTGCTTTTTGCTGGAACACTCTTATTCCACCATTATTACTCAGCATCAATTGATTGAAGCACAACAGGGGTAATATTCAATTGGCTTTAGTTATTCACTATAGTTTATGCTATTTCAGCCTTTCCTTTACCTCTTTTCCTTTGCTTTGATTTCCCATTTATCCTGCTGCATAATGCTACAGATAATACAGCATTGTGGCCATCTACTGGACCACTGTAAGGAAGGAACTACGTATGGCTGCCGGTGTGTTACAGCTTCCATTGCTTTCAATAGGTTTTTGTTACAAACTGTTTTTTTTTCTACTGCTTGACTTCAATAATACTTTTTTCCTCGATTTTTTTCTTAGTTTTTTCTACACTTAACTATGGTTGTTGTTGCTTTCAATGGGTGCAGAACATCGCCTCAATTAAGCTTTATGTAATTAGTGTAAATTAAGGTTTATGTGATTTGTGTAAAATACGAATGCCTGTTGTTATTACTGTTACTACTGTTACTCATACAGTTTCTGATGTTAATAGTAGTGTTGCCAAATGGTTACAATGATGGTGATGATACTTGTACCGCCGGCTTTTATAGGACAAGATAAAATGAGCAATATCAGTGAAGATGAGGATGAGGAAAACCCAGAAACTTGTCCAATTGAAATTTCGCGGGGTAACAAGGAAGATTTTATCAGTATGATTGATGAAACTGGTCAGATGGCTGGATGGATGAGGAAATTTCGTGATTATGATTGCTATCAAAAGATGCAGGGTGCTCATTTCCAAATGCATCATTATGTTGCAAAAACCAAAAGTACTTACTATTCTTGCTGATCGGTTGTTTAATTTAAAAAAAATTCTAAAACGGGTTCTTGCTTTTGTCAAATTTTTTTCTGTTCGCTTTTTTTTTTTAATTGGTATCAGTTTGCTTTTTTTTTGCAATTATTTGGTGCACAAAAAAAACTATCGAATTTAGGTCAAATTAAAAATGATAAAACTTGATGTATTCCAACACTTTTAATATTCATACCTCTTTTCACCTCTCTGTTCCTTAACCGCAGTGTTTATTTGAAGGAACAGAGAAAAGGATAAAAATTTATGAGAAGAACAGAAACTTTGGATGACAAATAATTAGCAAAGAAGCTAAGGGGGAAAAAAGTTGTTGATTGTAGTCAAAAAGTTTGGGAAGTAAAAAAATTGCTGTTATGCTGTCAGGAGACCAATATGTTGGGTCGTGTATCTGTATCGAACTTGACAACTATGCATTTCTCTCAATTTATTATGTGTCCGCAGATTTTCGTCAGCTTACAGTTGGAAAAGATTTATTGGAAAAAGTTTTTGAGGACAAATTAAAGCTAAAAAATATTGGCGTTTACACTGGTAAGTTTTTTGCTTAGTTTATTTCCATTATTGCATTATTATACTTTGTTTTTTTTCCCGTTCTTTTCTCTTCTGTTTTAAAAGAAAAACTTTCTTGTTATTTTTAAAGGTTATATATTTTACTGTTTTTTTCCTTGTTTTATTTTTTACTGAACATTATTACTTCTAATATTTTAATTGAAAAATAATTTTTATGGAACAGTTTATTCTGTCAAAAGGGAAAGTTCTTATGGTTTTTTTTTCGTAGTTAAATTAGCTCAGTTTCTAAAAGATTATTTTTGCTCAAAGGTAATTTTTCTCTTTTGTTTGGAAGAAACGCTTTTTGTATCAGAGGATTGACGTTTATGGCGGCAGTAAATTGGCGAGAGGAAAATGGCAAAAAAAAAAAAAACTTGCTAAAATATAGAAAATTATATTGTGAAACGACTTTTTGTTTGCTATTTTTAGCATTATACATTTTTCATCAATTTCCTTCTTTTTTTTTTCTTGTCTTTGGCTTTTTTTTTTAGCTCAATCAAACACATTATCCTATGCACCGGTGCTGAAATTCAACAAATTAGCTGACTGGCATATCAGATATGTTACGCTTACAAATGTGGACATTAGCAGAATAACAGGTATCATGATAATAGTTCTGGTGAACAGTAAAATATTAAATTTCGTTAGCCAATTTTATAAACGACTGCCTATTAATAATCAACAAAAAAGAAAACAATTTTTTTTGATAATTATACATTGATTGCTTTAAACGTATTAGTCAACTGAATATTGTTTCAACGGCTTTTATCTGTCTGTATCGGATTTACTCAAAACCTGTGAAGCATCGAATGTCATTAGAAAACTTATTTGGCTGAATAATCGCTGTTTGTCGTTAACCTGTTCAAGGGTTTTGATAAGTGATTATAAAGGAAAAGAAGAAGAAATTAAGCTTTAATCTTTTTTGTTCCGAAAGGAAAAAAATTCTGTACTTTTATTCTTTCAATTGAAGCTTTAGTTTCAGTCAGCCATGAATTCATAAACGTTTTTTGACCTTGTTTTCCTCTTCCGCTTTTGTCATCGGTTTTTATCGACACATATATTCAATAAAATAAAATATATTTTTTCCCTTGTAGTCGTATCGCTTGAGAATAAACTGCTTGACTGTCTTTTTTTGGCTTTTTTTTTCTAATCTTTTTCACTTTGCTTTGCTAACCTTAGTCTTTGTTGAGAGCAAACCGTTGAAGGAACAAAAGTTCTTTGGTAACTCTAACAAACATGGCATATCGGCATTAGTATTGAGCCACAACCTTTACAGTAAATAACGATGGTTTGACGATTAAAAGTGTACGGGATATACCGTTGACTGACCTGATTAATTATGATAAAAGGATAACCAAATGTGATAGGTATGATTTTCTGAAACACTGGATATACGAACGATTTGACTGTGTTGCAAAGGTACAGTTGTTTTTTTTTTTTTT